CACCAGGGTGGGGGTGAGGGGTGGCATCACCCCCCTCTCACTCCATCTCTCTCTGCAGGGCTCCTGCTGCTCCGACGGCCGCCACTGCTGCCCCGCGGGGTCCCGGTGCAGCGGGGGGGGCTGGGGCTGCAGCCCCCAGCACCCGTTCCTGTTCTGATCTCACTGGGGACACCACCACCACCCCCGAGTGCCACCCCCCCAATAAACGGTTTCTAGGAGAAATTCCATCCATGGCTCCTGGCAAGGGGGAAACTGAGGCAGGAGGCGGAGGCAGGGGGGTTTTGTGTGTTTAATATATTAATGCCTCTAAGGAGCAGGCAGGACGTGCAGGCAGGTGCAGGCAGCAGCTCCCTGCCCAGCCTGGCACCCGGGGGGGTCCCCATGGCCCCCCCTCTGCCAGCCTGGCCCCAATGACCCCTCTTCATCCTCACCACGTAGAAAACGTTTAGAAACACAGTTAAAATCCAAAGGGGGATGAGGGTGGGGGACGGGAGCCCCCCAGCTCCTATGGCAGCTTGGAGGCACCACTGGCTCGGGGGGCAGTGCCAGCCCCCCCTGTCCTGCAGGGACACAAGTGGGGACATGGCTCAGGACTGGGAGGACATGGAGCATGCAGTTCCCACCCCCAGAAGACAGGGAGGTGGATGGTGGTGGGAGGGGACAGGGGCAGCAGGCATGTGGCAGAGCCTGGTGGCACAGGGTGGGGGTCTCAAACACACGAGGACACGGTGGCCTGGCTGTGCTCTCTCTGGCCCCTCCCCTGGCAGAAGGGGTCCGTGGTGCTGGGATGAGGTGGTGGTGGGGTGGGACAGTGATGGGACACGATTGTGGTGGGCTGGGACAGCGGTGGGACGGTGACAAGGCAAGATGGTGTGGGGAGGGACGACACGGCAGTACAGGATGGGACAGTGGCAGGACACGGTGGTGGGAGGGTAGGATGGGATGGGATGACAGCGGTGGGATGAGATGATGGGCTGTGTGGGATTGAGCTGGGATGGCACTGATGGGACAGGATGACAGCTGGGATGAGATGGCAGTGCGATGGCACAGCGATAGGACAGCGATGTCAAGACGGCGGTGGGAGGAGACAGTGCTGGGCTGAGACGGGTGACAGCAGCGGTGTCCCCACCATCTCAACACCCCCCGGGGACCAGGGACCGCCCTGCCCGCACTCACTTGACATTGAAGACCATCAGAGGCCGCTCCTCCCGCTTCTGCCAGGGGCTCTTGCGGTCGCCCCCCTCGTCCCCCGCGTCGCCCG